GCGTCACTCTCTTTCTCAACTACCACTCATCGTTTCTCTCGTGAGTTCGCCGCCTATCGGCTAAATTCCTCTCCCCGCGCTTCCCCATTCCACCCAATCTCACCGCCTTTCCTCGGCCGTTTCGCTCTCCGCAACGCAGCGTTGCCGCTAAAGTTCAACCCACTGTGTTTATCCGCGTTACAAGCTTCATCGCCTCGTCGATCCCCGAGTTGCAATAGCTTAGAGGATAACCAGAAAAGTATCACAGTACTACAGTATCACACCGAACATTCCGGCTCTCCAGGCGCAGGGCATACCCCCCCACCCAGTCTTAGCGCAGCGCTTCAACGTCCCCTCGCGCTCACCTCAGCAGCAGCCATAAGCGCAGCTCTCGCGTTTTCCGCTCTTCCTGCTCTAGCCGCTGACGTCACTTCGTTCGAATCGCTCCCACAATCGGAATCGGTCGCTTTTCTAGATGCTTCCGCGCGGGAGAAGGACATGATCCTCGCTTCGGCATCACTCGCAGCTCCTTCATTGGAAAGCTTTTATGAGTTAGCACCGTCGGTATCTACTGCTGCAGTAGCACCCTCGATAGTAGACAACGCGGTAGTAGTTTCACATGCCGAGAGTGTTTCCGACGTGTCCATGTCGGGTCCGATTCTGCAACTGGCTTCACGCGACGCGGCGTCGCGCGACGTGGTCAAGATGTGTTCGAATCTCGTCGCCGCCTGCGGTAAGGGGATATTTTGCGCTCACATCTGATGTATATTCGTTACTCGCAGGAAGTATATTTTATGCACGTTATATATCTGTTTATCTGTTGCCGTTCATAGCTGCTTGCCTGAACTCGTTGCCTGCGCACTTACGAAAGTCTCCTTTCCTATCCTCGAGTTCCTAGTTGTGCTGTTTGGTGGCTTTTCCGAAACTTGCGAAACCCTTTCTTTTGGCGTGTTTTCCTCTCGTTACGCAGTTCTGCTGGTTTGGTTTCAGCGGGTCGGCACTCTGCCACCCTCCACAGCCCACGTCCTAAGCCAGGTGCGCTGCGCTCGCTCGCTCCCTTGCTTACCTCGCTCTCTCGCTCCCTTGCTTACCTCGCTCTCTCGCTCGCCTCTTGCCTTGCCTCGCTCTCTCGCTCCCTTGCTTACCTCGCTCTCTCGCTCGCCTCTTGCCTTGCCTCGCTCTCTCGCTCGCTCCGTTGCCCTCGGGCCCTGTCTTGCTCTCTCTTACTATGTCGCTCCGTCCGTGCTTCGGATTCTGTTTCCCTCGAAACGCGCGTTGCGTGTCCTGTCTCGTTCCAGGTGGCGAATCGCGTTCTCATCCCGTGCTTCCTAGCGGTACACGTGGCATCGGCAGTTTCGAATGAATCTGAGTTGGTGCTATCCTCGCTCCCACTCATTGCACTCGCGCAGGTATGCGCCCCTTCTCCTCTGTTTTTTTTTCTCTTCTCTCCTCTTCTCTTGTTTTCTCTTCTTTGCTTTTTGAGTCGACTAGTGAATCTGAGTTGGTTCTATCCTCGCTCCCACTCATTGCATTCGCGCAGGTATGCTCCCCTTCTCCTTCGCTTACCCGTCTTCTTCTCTTCCGTTCCTCTACACTTCCGTTCCTCTCCTCTTCCCTTCGAAACTGTCCCGCGTCTTTCTCTGTGCTCCCTGACTAAGTTACTTCGTGACTCTTGAATCGACGTCACCTCTCTCACTCTCTCTGTCTTCCCTAACCCTCTCTCTCGTTCCGAACCCTCTCTCTCGTTCCGAACCCTCTCTCTCGTTCCGAACCCTCTATCTCGTCCCGAACCCTCTATCTCGTCCCGAACCCTCTATCTCGTCCCGAACCCTCTATCTCGTCCCGAACCCTCTATCTCGTCCCGAACCCTCTCTTTCATCCAGGTTCTCTGTGCGGCCTCATTAGGTCACCTCCAAGCCCACCAATCCTCCTCCGCTTCCCCCTCCTTCCCAGCCTCCTCACTCCTCCCCCGGTCGCTCCATCTCTCTCCACGCCCCTCCACCGCTCTGCACCAACTCGCTGCCTCTCTCTCCTCCCTCGTCCAACCGGCCACCGAACCAACCACCGAAGCAGCCGCCAAGCCAGCTGCAGCGGTAGGCGGTAGTGCCGCTGCTGGCAATCTTGGCGGTCAGCTTGGCGAAGCGGGAATGACGCTGCTGCTGCTGGTCGTCATGACGGCCGTCTGTGAGACGGCGGGAGACGGTGACGGGCTGGCGGGACAGCTGGCGCTTCTCGCTGTGGGCGGGTGCGTGCAGGGGGGATGAGTAGAGGGGATATGAGTGGGGGGAGAAAGGGGGGGAGGGGGGGTGAAAAAGTGGAGGGGGAATGAGTGGGGTGCTTGATAGGGCGGGTGAGAGGTGAATTGTGCTCGAGGCATGTCACACGGCTTTCTCTCGTTTCCTCCCTCCCTCCCTCCCTCAATCCCCTCCCACCTCCCCCCTCCCCCCAACGCGCGAATCGACAGGTGGGGCCCGGCGCTCCTCATGCTTGCCTGTAATGCCCTCCTCTGGATTCAGAAGCAAACGAGTTCGGAGGACCTCCCCTCGAGCCATACTGCGTCGAATACATCCGGGCCGTCGCTTTCAAATCGTTTCTTCACCCCTCCTGTTCTTGGAGTGAGTTCGGCTGCCCTGTTGTTACCCCCCTGCCTCCTTCTCACCCCACACACATTCATGCACAATCACACCCCTTATTCCCCTTCTCTCCCCCATCTATTCACAACCCCCTCCTTTCCCCTCCACCTTTTCACCTTTGCCGCATTCACCTCTTCCTCTCCGCATGTTCGTCTCCTTTCCTCTCACCACCTTCCCTCCCCTTCTCTGTAGATCCGCTCGTCTTCATCGTGTTCTTGACTCCTCGTTTTCTTGACTCTCCTCGTGTTCTTGACTCTTCTTGACTCTCCTTTGCCTCCAATTGACTCTAATTGACTCTCCTCTCTTCTTGACTCTCCTTGACTCTCCTTGACTCTTCTTGACTCTCCTTGACTCTCCTTTAGTCTCCTTCACTCTCTTCTTTACTCTTCTTGACTCTCTTGACTCTTCTTGACTCTCGACTCTTCTTGACTCTTCACTCTTATTGACTCTTCACGCTTCTTGACTCTCCTTGGCTCTCCTTGGCTCTCCTTGGCTATCCTTGGCTCTCCTTGGCTCTCCTTGGCTCTCCTTGGCTCTCCTTGGCTCTCCTTGGCTCTCCTTGGCTCTCCTTGGCTCTCCTTGGCTCTCCTTGGCTCTCCTTGGCTCTCCTTGGCTCTCCTTGGCTCTCCTTGGCTCTCCTTGGCTCTCCTTGGCTCTCCTTGGCTCTCCTTGGCTCTCCTTGGCTCTCCTTGACTCTCCTGGACTCTCTTTGACGCTTCTCCATCTCCTCTGTCCTGCTCTCAGGTTCTCGCAGGTCTCTTGATCGGCGCCACGCCTCTCAGACAGCTCTTCCTGCTGCCACGTGTCACGGACGGATTGGTCGACACGAGCACTCTGCTGATCGACAGCGGGTCTGTGCTGGCGTGGCTGCATGGGCAAGCGGGCGAGATGGCGGGGAGCATGCACTGCTTCATGGAGGCTGCATCGTTCCTCGGTTCGGCCGCTCTGCCCCTCCACCTCATGGCTCTCGTCTCTTCTCTCGTCCCCCCTCTCGAACCATCTCAAGCCCAGCATACTCAGCACCAACATCATCAACAGCAGCAGCAGCAGCAGCAGCAAGCCATCCTCGCACATGTCAAGGCCGCACAGCCCAGAGATGCTGCTGCTTCTACACCGGAGCTGCCCCTCTAACCTTCTAACGCTCATCTCATCGTCCCTTCATAACCTTATGACTCACTTGAGTCATCTCAAAAGTAACATCGGCAGAACCAGCAGCAGCAAGTGATTCTGTCACTTTGTTGAGCCCACCCGACCCAGATACCCTGCTGCTTCTGCTCCAAAGCTGTCTCTGTAACACAGGAACTTCAATCTCGACGTGATTCGACTTGATTTCTCTCTGCTCCACATACGGGAGCCCTAATACCGGTAGCAGACTTATCAGAGACTGCATACCTTCCGTCTCATCTCTAACTTGCTCCTGCCGGACACGTCAGTAGCAGCAGCATGCCAAGTTGTTCCCACAACGCTCAGCGCATGCCCAGCTAACACCAACCAACCACAACGCTCTCATCTCGTCCTGGGTGTTCCCTGCTTCAATTGAGGGTCACCAGCAGCAGCTAACAGGCTATTGAGACAGAGTCAACAACAAGAAGCTGTCATGTCATGAGTCACCAGCAGCAGCCAACACCAGCGGCGGCGTGGCAGTGGGGTACCTTTTGAGAGAAGGCAGCTCTCTGTGTATATGCAATTCTCTCTGAGTAAATGGGGATCAGATGCTGTCATGTTCCGAGTCCACCAAACAACGCATTCAGCAACTCCATCCACTGACAATGGGTGAGTCAAATTGTTTTTAGCTTTTAGTTTGCCTTCTCTGCATACTTTCCTGGTGCATTTCATTGAGAAAGCTCTGCTGTGTGCCTGTCTCTCTCCCTGCTGCTCACAGGTTAAAATAACTGTACCTTTTAATTAACAAGTGGAGTGGACTAATTTGCTGCACATTTTCCACAATGCAAGGTTTGTTGTGCACCTATAAATACCAGCCAGATGATAACTATTGCACTGCGCTTTGCTTTCAGCCACACACCTTGAATATTCACATCAAATTCCCCTTTTGTCCCTTGCTCATCTCTGCTGCTGCAGTTCTGCTACATGTGCTGCCATGTGCAACCAACACCACAGCTTTTGAAGTCATGGTACCGCTGCTGTTGCTTGTGATCCAATAACTGCTGCTTGTCCAGTTGCTGCAGCTGTTGCTACTGCATCTGCAACCTTCAGCATCACTACCTGCTAGCACCTATGCTGCTTTCCACTGTTTTCACTGGACTACCCTCACCTCTTTAAGTGTTAGAAGCCGAAACGACCATGCTCACACTGCCAGCCATGCTACAGTTGTGAGGAAAAAGCTAGTTGCAGTGGCAGTAAAGTGCCTCCACAGAAATGGTCATCTCATCACATGGGGATGTTGAGGATTGTGAGGAAAACGGTTACCCAGATGGTGATTGGTAGCATGGCCAGGGCGTACTGGAAGGGTGGGGAAATGATGGGGAGAAACGGGGAGACAGAAACATTAGTCTGGTTCTCAAGTGGAATTATTATTTTGACGAATGGCACCACTACTTGTGCAGGAAGAAAATAAACCACGGATGGCATACCATTCAAGGAGTCATCAAACTTTAACACGATGCGACAAAGAGATATGGTTTAGGTGCCTCCCCATGGTTTAATGCCGTTTACTTTTAGGATAGACGTTTTTATCCCGGGCAGAAAGCTCCCTGGGTGAATTGGTTGTCAGTTGAAATGTACATTTAGACCCGTGTACACATAAGGCATTGATGGAACTTTGCTGCACCAATTACTTCAATGCACCATAACTGTCTTTTGCAGCACGAGGTTTTTGGTAAACGGAGTCAGGTTGTTTTTACTGTGAGCAGCATGTTCATATCTTCCTATCAAACAATAAATTCCAGTCAAGAACTGATGCTGCATTGTTCCTTCATTGGAAGTTGTTCAGCCCAGAGAGAAAAGACCAGGAGGAAGAGGAGTTGCAACAAAGACAAAGGGCAAATTATCCACATTTGAAGGAAAAAAAGGGGCTCACCTGTCGAAGCATGAGTGAGGCGAGCACTCCCGCGAGTGGACGGGTCTTGGAGCTCAACTGTAGTAACAGAACAGGAGGGAAAGAGTACGGAATGAATAAGGTTAGAGAAATAACGGCAGTGGGACAGCGGCATCGAGTGAGAGAACCATTAAGAGATGGAGACGCAAGATGCACGTGGGAAACAAAGCGTGAGCAGGAAGATACCGCGCTTGAGGAAGATACACACCATCACGGGAATTTATTTTTGTTGTGCTGAGCAGGGTGCAGAGGGAACGAACCTGAGTGAGAACCACGAGGCTCTGAGATGACGGCATGGCGGTCGGCACCTGCGAGGGAGGCAAGAAAGAGAGAGCAGAGAGCAGAGGGAAGGAGATGAGATGAGTGGCAGCAATGGGGTCACTTGAGAACCCTAAACCACGAGGCTCTGATGGCCTGGCAGAAGGCAAATGTGATGGAGATAAGCAAGAGAGAGCAGAGAGAAAGCAAGATGAGTGGAAGTGAGTTGAGAGAGAGTGAGACGAGAGAGAATCTGAACAACAGTGATGCATGAGCGTAGGCACATATGATATGAGGGCCAAAGGGCTTATTGTGTCAGCACTCTTACCATGAGGCAAAGCGCACAAATCGGGTCCTGGGGAATGAGGTGAGCGTGGTAGAGAGCCTGGTGGAGGGGGGAAGAGAAAGGACGGGAGGGAGAGGCTAAGTTAGCGAGTGAAGGAGGAGGAGGGAAGGCATACGGCAGAGGAATGTTTTGAGACTTTTGAGACGTCTCGGAGGAATGTTTTGAGACTTTTGAGACGTCTCAGAGGAATATTTTGAGACTTTTGAGACGTCTCAGAGGAATGTTTTGAGACTTTTGAGACGTCTCAGAGGAATGTTTTGAGACTTTTGAGACGTCTCAGAGGAATGTTTTGAGACGTCTCAAAACAGAGGAATGCACTTGTTGTGGCAGGCCAACAAAGGAACACAGCAAGGAACGCTAAACCATAAACCAGAGTCCTAAGCCCTAAACACTAGAAGCGCACCATTATGCTGGTCATGCCGACGATGGGAGACACCAGTAGGCGCACGAGTGAAACCACCACCAGCGCACGATTGTCCAGCAGATCTGCTGGCGGCCCTGCTGCCACCGCTGCTGCTGCTGCTGCTGTAGCAGGCACAACTGCTGCAGCAGCAGCAGCAGCAGCAGGAGGAGGAGCAGGAGTTGCAGAAGACGCAACAGAGGCAACAGCAGATTCAGGACCCACGGTTGGTGCTGGTGCACAGGCAAAAACAGAGGAGGAAGAAGGGGCAAGAGCGGCAGCAGTAGCAGGAGCCAGCGCAGCTGCCAGTTCAGGAGACATGGTGGGAGCGACCGGACTAATAGATACTGCTTCTTCCTCTTCCGCTGCTGCTGCTGCCGCAGCGGCATCAGCATTCGGTCGTTCCAGGTGCATGGCAGCACCCTGTCCCATGCTCAGATCCATTTCTAATTCCAGCGCCTCTAGGCCTGTCACCTCTAGCGCACCTGTAGCGTCCCCACCCCCCATCATCGCCACCCCTCCCACCGCCTCCGTGTTGCTCTCTGCCTCACACGACCGTACTTCCTTCAACCCATCCTCACCCCTCTCCACGCCCCTCTCCACCCTCCCTTGCACTGGAATCGCTAGGACAGATGCTGAAGCAGCTGACGCTGTGACTGCAGCCGCAGCAGCAGTGGAGTAGGAAGCAGCTAGAAGAGAGTTTCCAAGGAAGGGCTGATGGGGAACTAGGCGGGCTAGGAGCCACAGTGAGGAGGCGGAATCAGAGGAAGAGGCGGAGAAGGAGGACGGGGAGGAGGAGGGGTGAGAAGAGGAAGGGGAGGAAGATGAAGGGGTGAGGAGGGATTGGAAGAGGTGGTGGAGGTCGGCTAGAGGGGGAGAACCAGCAGGGAAGACAGGGGCAGGGAATTTGGCAGAGAGGGACTTTTGGAGGTTTGCGAAGGGGTTGGGAGGAGTGGGCAGGTTGGGGAGTGCGGGGAGGAATTTCGGCCAGGAGAGGTTGGCAGGGAGGGCGTCCGCAAGGGAGGAGGAGAGGACGATGGTTTGCACAGGGACGCATGCTCCCCCCAGCATGCCTGCTGCCTGCACGGTGTAAAGGGCAGGTAGGGAAGGGAGAAAGGGCACGTTAGAGAGAGGGAGGAGGAGAGGACGATGGTTTTCACTGGCACACACGCTCCCCCCAGCATGCCTGCTGCCTGCAAAAGGTAGATGGGACGGAGAGAGATACGGAGCGGTAGAGCACAGTAAAAGGGGGCATTAAAGAGGGAGGAATAGAGGACGATGGTTTGCATGGGGACGCCTGCTCCCCCTTTCCCAGTCATTAGGATCCAGGGCGGCGACAAGAAAGTGGAGAGCAAAAGGCAGGCGGTGGCATGGAGCAACCAGATTGGAAAGGCGACGCGTGGGGATGGAGAGACAGGAGTTGGAGAGGGAGGAAGGAGGAGGAAGGGTGAAGGAAGAGGGGGTGAGGAGGGGAGTTGAGATGAAGATCAAGCAACAGCAGTAGCAGCTGTGGCTGAGGAGGGTGGTGGCTGAGGAGGGCGGTGGCAGTGGTAGAGCTTTAGAAATGATGAAGAATGGTGGGAGATTGATGGAGGATCAACCATGCACGCTCCACGAATCTGCTGGAGCGTGCACGGTTGATCCTCCATCAATCTCTCACCATCCTCCACCATCTGCTGTTGCTTGATCTTCATCTCCCCTCCTTTCTCATCCCCCTCTTCCTCCACAATTGTGCCCCCCTCCTCCTTCCTCACTTCCTGTCCCTCTCCTCCAGCCTCCCCTCCCTCCAATCTCCCACCATCCTCCACTAGAGAAGGGAAACGGGAGGGCAGTAAGTGTTAGTGAGGAAGAGAGGAAGGATGGTTTGTGCGAACACACATGCTCCTCCAAGCACGCCTGCTGTTTGCAAAGTTGGTTGGGGCAGAGAGGAAGGCAGCAGTACAGTTGCGCACAGTGATCAGCAAGTTCCAGTCATTAAACCCTAAACCCTCTAATCATAAATCTCTCATTCCAATGGATGTAGCACCAACTCACCCCAAACAGCGGGTGCAGCACTCCGGCTGTAGCAGGGCCGAGGAGAGAAGACAGCAGGTCGCCTGAGCCAGCAGCGGCGGCTGTAGCAGCCGCAGAAGTATCGGCAGCAGCCGGCAGGAAGAAATGGCCGAGCGGAGTGGTGCCGATAACCACTCCCACAAGAACCTGTAGGGGAGAGACAACACGGATCTCAGGAGGTAATTTAGAGAGAAAGCGACAGGAATAAAGGTGACCGGAAAAAAAAAAAAAAAAAAAAAAAAAAAAAAAAAAAAAAAAACAACTATACGAGACGGGTAAGCAAAAGTAGCCGAACAACTCACCCAACATACATGCGGGTAACCAGCAACTCACCCCATACATGGGCGGGTTGAACACCTTCTTGGCAACACCAGAGACACACTCCACGGCGTTGCTCACCCACGCACGCACGCCCCCAACACCACCAGCAGCAACAGCATCACCGACACCAGCCGCAGTTGCCTTGATGCTGCTGCTGCTGCCACCACCAGCGGGCTTGCCCGCGTCCTTGAGAATGCTGTAGCCAATCGTCCACAGAGCCGGCTGCCAGCTGTAAAAGATAGACGGGTTCGCAGAATGTGGGAGGGAAAAGAGCAGAGAGGGAAAGGGGACGGAGGGAGCAACGGTTGAAGAGCAGGCTTGCCCGCGTCCTTAAGAATGCTGAACCCAATCGAGTTTTGCGGCACCTCAAATTAAGAGTGCTCTATCCAATCGTCCACAGTGTCGCCTGCCAGCTGTTGAAACAGAAAGGTGGGTTGGTAGGAGGGGCAGCGGTTGAAAATCAGACAGGGGAAGCAGCAGGCTTGCCCGCGTCCTTGAGAATGCTGCACCCAAACGTCCACAGAGCCACCTGCCAGCTGTTGAAACAGAAAGGTGGGTTGGTAGGAGGGAGCGGAAGGTTAACGGGTGGAGGGAGCAGCGGTTGAAAATCAGGCTTGCCCGCTCCCTTGAAAATGATGTTGACGACCGTCCACAGCAACGGCTGCCAGCTGTTGAAACAGAAAGGTGGGTTGGTAGGAGGGAGCGGAAGGTTAACAGGAGGAGGGAGCAGCGGTTGAAAATCAGGCTTGCCCGCTCCCTTGAAAATGATGTAGACGGCCGTCCACAGCAACAGCTGCCAGCTGTTGAGAACGAAGGGTGGGTGCCTGGGGAGGGGCAAGCCAGCGGAAGGGGAGGGGGCAAGCCAGCGGAAGGGGAGGGGGCAAGCCAGCGGAAGGGTTTTTGAGGCGCCTCAAAAGTCGTCCACAGCAACGGCTGCCAGCTGTTGAGAATGAAGGGTGGGTGCGTGGGGAGGGGGCAAGCCAGCGGAAGGGGAGCGGCAGCGGTAGCAGATTAGGCTTGCCCCGCGTGCTTGAGAATGCTGTCGCCGATCGTCCGCAGCGCAGTGACTTTTTCTGCCATCGACGTTTTCTGAGACACCTCGACTCAGAACTCACTCACCCCATCATGAAGAGAGTGAGATAGCCCCAGAGGCAGCCCTGTCGCCATCCACCTGGGTGAGCAGCGCCGTGAGGAACACCAGAGGCAGCGAGAGCGAGAGGAGCGGGCCATAGACAGATAGACACCATGGGGCACACACGCCCACACACACGCCCACTCACACGCCCACTCACACGCCCATACACGCCCGCTCACCCCATCATGAAGAGAGCGAGGTAGCCGGCAGCCCAGTCGCCGTCCACCTGGCTGAGCAGCGCCGTGAGGAACACCAGAGGCAGCGAGAGCGAGAGGACCCAAACCCCTGACCATGTCAGGACCAACCGAGAGACACACAGTAACACTGATAGACACCATAACATGCGCATGCTTGCCCGCTCACCCCATCATGAAGAGCGCAAGGTAGCCGGCCGCCCTGTCACCATCCACCTGGCTGAGCAGCGCCGTGAGGAACACCAGAGGCAGCGAGAGCGAGTTGCTGAATGCACACACTGCCGTTACCACCGACTCCTTGGTTCGCAGTGCAGCCGCCGCTGCTTCTGCCGCTGCTAGTGTTGTTGATACTGTTGCTGCCGTTGCTGTTGGTTCGGCAGCAGTGGCGACAAGCTCAGTGTGGTTTTCTCTGCTGCTTCCGTCGCTGTGCTTCAAGTTGCTGCTGCTGCCGCTGTTGCCGGTAACAAGAGAGGGAAGCAGGGCAGCGGAGGGCAGCAGTGACGACGGCTTGTGGAAAGCCACGAGGCACGCAGCCTTGCCCAACACAGTGCCTACCAGGACCTGAATGGACAACACGAGGGGGGGAGAGTTGGCAAGGCAACAGGCAGTAGGGCAGCATTAGGCATAAGGGCAGCAGCGACGAGCGCTTGTGGAAGGCCACGAGGCACGCAGCCTTTCCCAGAACGGTGCCTACCAGCACCTGAAAATGCAAGAAAAACGGGTTGGAAGAGGCGCAGGAGGTGATGTCGAGGTGATGTCGAGGTGGGGCAAAGGAACGGCATACGTACTGATTGAGTGTAGCGGTAGTACAGCATACGAGCGAATTATGGGTGGCAATGGTGGATAGAGTAGGGGTGGCGCGGCGCATACCTGGAGAATGGCAATGAGCGGCAGCACTGCGAGGGCTGAGAGAGACTTTTGAGTCGACTCAAAAGTCACGGCGCATACCTGGAGAATGGCGATGAGCGGCAACACTGCGAGGGCTGAGAGAGACTCGCCAGAAAGAGTGGCGGCCACCTGCAGAGAGCCAGAGCGGCGAGAGAGAGCAGGAGGGATGCAGAAGGAAACAAGAGAAGATGGAAGACTTAGAGGACAGTCAGAATGTGGAATGACGGCAATAGTAGCTTGGATTGGAGAGCTTCGATCGAGGATAATCCGACGGTGGTAGGTGCTTCATGCTTTGCATTGTTAAAGAGCGCAATGGGCAGTGGCGATGCAAGAAGTGGGGTGGGGCGAGGAGCAGCCGTGCAGTGCACATGAAACGTACCTTGCTCATGAGGAAGCACGGGATGAGCACTCGGAAAGAGACCTGCGGAGACAGGGTGGATCAGAGAAGGAGAGGATGAGAGAAGGGGGAGGGGATGAAAGAAAAGAGAGGGGAGAAAGAAGGAAGAAAGGAGGATGAATGAACGGAAGTTCGCGGGGCGATTGGGACTTCACGTTTGAGCAGACAGAGAAGTCTATTCGTTCATCCTATTCGTACATGAGATACTGAGAACTTTGGTTATGTACGCACACGCGCTTGACCGATACCCGTGCAGGTGAGAGCACTTGCGCACAAGCAAACGAGCGCGCGCGCGCCCACACACCCCCGCTCGCAGCCGCCCACCCACGCACCCACACACACCCATGCAGCCGCCCACTCACGCACCCACACACCCAGTAACAACGCACCTGGCTGAGCACGGAAGGCGTGGACTTGGGTAGAATGCCCGACTTTTGCAGACACACCACGAACGCTGCTCGCACGCACACGCACACGCACACGCACACACACACAAACACGCGCACACGCACGCACGCACGCACACACACACACGCACACACACACGCACGCACGCACGCACAGCATGGCAAGGGGGTGGAGCAGGGGGGAAGGGAGGGGGGAACGGGGGGGCAGGAGGGGAGGGGGAGTAGAGGGGAGAAGGGGAGGAGGAAGAGGGGGCGAGGTGAGGCGAAGAAACTTTCAGACGGACGAAGAGGCGCGAAATGCAAGAGGAAATGTGAATGACAACATGCAAGAGAGGACCTGGGGGGGTGAGGAAGAGGGGCGAGGCGAGGCGAAAAAGCATCGACTTGACAGGCGAAGAGTCGCGAAATGCAAGAGGAAAATGTGAGTGACAACATGTAAAGGAGGACGGGGGTAGTAAGGGAGGGAGGGAGGGAGGGAGGGAGGGAGGGAGGGAGGGAGGGAGGGAGGGAGGGAGGAGGGAGGGAGGGAGGGAGGGAGGGAGGGAGGGAGGGAGGGAGGAGGGGGGGGGGGGAGGGAGGGAGGGAGGGAGGGAGGGAAGGAGGGAGGGGGGGAGGGAGGGAGGGAGGGGGGGGGGAGAGGAGGGTTGGGAAGAAGGGGATAGGGATGGTAGAAGAAGCGAGATGCAAGGCGGGAAGGATCGCATTTCTATAATTTTGCAAAGAAAAAAGGTGGCTTTAAGCTTATGAGGCGTCTACAGAATGGAAACTGAGATGTCTCACAACTTACCGCAGATGCCGAAGAGCTTAAACACAGTTCCGAAGGCGGCTTTTAACACGGACAAATTGACGCCGAAAATCACATCACCAACCGCGCCCGCGGAACCGGGCGCATCCTTTCCCGCATCCACGGACGCAGGGGGAGCGGCGGAGAATTGGAGCGCCACGGGCGCACTGGGCACCGCAGCCCCGGAAGGGGGCACGCGCAAAACCGCAGCGGATGGTGCGGGCAACGCGAAATTTCCGGCCGGGAGAGAAGCGGGTAGGGCGGCCGGTAGTGCAGCCGGTAGATTAGCCGGCAGGGATGCCGGAACTGCCGACGATTCAGCGACTGCAGGAGCCGTTAGCGGCTCGTTCCTAATCCCCACCGACGCGTCACTCGTGACGTCAGCGGAGGGGTAAGTGTACACTAACGGCGGCGCGGCAAAGCCCGATCGATCCGCGAAGCTTCCTTCGTCAAACGTGATCGGAACTGGCAGCGGGCGGAACGACGAGAAGAATTGAGCCGAATGGTACAGCGACGGCCACACGTCGCCCGTATTCACCGCCGCGATCGGCGGCAGAACCTCCGCCGGCAGCCCCGCCGCCGCCACGTCAGCAACGCGGTTGAAAGCGGCGGCGGAGGCCGGGGAGACGGTGGGGAGGCAAGGCGCGGCGGTCACGATGCTGAGACCTATGGCGGTTGCAGTGGCCGTCGCAGCCGCGCGAATAAACACGGGAGCCGTTTCCTTGGCGTCCCGAACCCCGTGTTCTGCGATCGGAGCCGTTGCTAGGGAAGCAGCTTCGTCAAACCTTCCTCGCATCAGCGCGCGGAGGAGCTGCGAGGAACGGAGGCGGGCTCGGAGTGCAAAGCGCTGCTTGCCGCTTTCTTCCGTCGCCCTGCGACCTTCCTCCCTTCGCCTGAAGCCTTTTTCGCGTTTTCCACAGACTTCTTCGCTTCGCCAACCGTCTTGACTTGTCGGTCGTCGGCAAACTTAGCGTCAGGTCCGCGCAGTCCCGACATGAATTTAAACTGCTGCATTGCGCCGACGGCATCCGGAGCGCCATTCTGACAATCCTCCCCATTGGCTGCCACGTAAGTCCCAGCGGCTTCTCTGGATCCAACTGAAGACGACTCGTTAAAAACAGACTCCGTGCGAGTAATATCAGCGTTCACCGCCCTTTCCTCCCCATCAACATTGCAACAGCTGCTCCCATCACTGTTACCGGCGCTGCTGCCGGCGGGAGTAGTAGCAGGAATGGCAGGAATCTTCAAAGAAGTTGGGGAAATCAGAGGAGTCCTCAATTCGGAGCAGCATCTGACGGTTCCGCTGCGATTGCCGCTGATGCCGATTCCACAGCAACTGTTCCGCTTCTTCTGACAATTCGCGCGACCAAGAACGCAGATCGAACGGGTACCGTCAGACAAAAGAGAACCTTCCGGCGACGGAAGCAACGGTCGGCGCGAAGTTACGCTGAAACCGGAAGGGGAGCCGGAGCTGCTAGAAGGTCCACGGGAAGCGGAGGAGGAGGAAGGCGTGAGCGAGACGCAAGGAGGCGCAGAGCAGCGGAAGAAATGGCGGCCATTCAGAAGAGAATCCTTAAATTCTTAAAGCACCTTGTTGAAAGGAGGTCAGTCTTAGTAACGGATCAATCAGACAATATAACCGGGCTTGTGTGAGCAGAGCTCCTCAGCAGGATAGAGCTTCGTTTATAACTCTTGAGTGAAAGAAGGCTTTAACGAGCAATTAATACTCGGCTCTTTCTTTGAAGGCGGTTTACGCGATAATTAAGGCGTTAATACGCCCTCGGCCTCCTTTCTAAACAAGAGCAATCGATAACTCAAAAACTACTACGAAGTAATGAGCATTCAAGGAAAAGCCCGCGAAATATAAACACCGATACAGGAGATCCGAATCGCGGGGAGGACGCAGCTATACCGGTCACAGGACAGTCAAGTATGGAAACGGACCAGGCACAGAGAACTACCAGCCAGCTGCTATGATTTAGGGAATTGGAGTGGAAACCCCGAGACCAGCTACCCCCTCATATAGTAGGGAAGGAGGTGTGTCCTGCGCTGTACATACATTTTCAATTCAAATACCGCGGTTTAGCCTATTTCGTTGCGGTTGGAAACGGTGAATACCCAGAACCGTAACTTACCGCGCGAGAACATTCTGTACCAAGCCGGACGTTCAGGAGAAGCCTTGCTTCTCTCTCATGCCAATCTCCATCTCATATCGCACCCGCCCAGGTTACAGTGTAGATCGGACGGAGCAGCAGCATGGATGGATGGTGCAGCGGAGCTGTTACAGTACGCTGACATGACGGAAGCAACGTTTCACTAACGGCCGCCACTGCTGACTGCGTCCCACACACGGCGGTGGACAAAACACGCGTGTTTGGCTCGGGGTTCGGGTTCGAGACCTATTTGGTTCGGATGGCGGTGTGTGATTGGTTCGGCATGGTTCAGCCTTGTGGCTTGGTCTGTCCAGGGCGTGACCAAAATGATGAGGCACACATACGCAACGGAGGACGATGTTGCAGAACGATGGGCTCGGAATGAGCGGCTTCTCTGTTTTAGAACGCCAGAAGCCGACCCGACCGAACCAAGAAAACCGACACACGTACTTCTAGAACAGGATCTGAGATTGACTGTGGATTATGAGTACACACGGTCAAGGGCCAAAGCTAGCCCGAGCCATAACCTACGTACTAGGCTTGACAAGAGTGACTGATGAACATATCGACAAGCCTGAGCAACAAGCACTTGGCCAACGTACCACTGAGAGTTTCTTCATGGGAGGTTCGGCTCGTATCGAGGCTGCGCTATTAGCTGAAAATGTTCAAGGTTTAGATTAGTCGAATGTGGGTGAGGCTTGCCATTGGCCTTCAGACGCTTCGGTACGGCCCACATCAGAACTGAGCTCGCCTCTAAGGCAAGCGATCTCGGGGGCCCGTCAACTCCCCACCACCCAACGCAGTCACTTTGTGCTGCCATAGTTGAAAAGGAACTGTGGTTCGGGTTCAGCCTTGTTAAGGCATACCTCCTTCGCTGGTATGGTTCTTCTGAAGGCGGCCTGGGACGAGCCTTGTTGGCACCCGCACGCAAACCTCCTCCAAGCCCATTATGCCAGTTGTCCTAACATGCTTGGGTGAAGGACCATCCACGTCATGGTGACATCGTCCAGGCCCGAATCCGTCATGGCCTGCTCAACATATGTGGTAAAGGACACAACAAATAACACTCTCTCCCAGACCTTCGGAAAGCAGGCGATAAGACAACTAAGGGGGTGTTTGGACGAACTATCACGTACAGTCACGAAAACGTTAACAAGCGCTTGATAGTTCGGACGATTTACATAACACTTCGAGCCAAAGAGGTATTCTAACAACAGCATGCAAAACATAATCTAATCTAGATGTCTTAAAGCCAGGATCTCAAGTACGAGAATTGGCCTTCATTTGCAAAACACTTGCAGCTCTCATTACCCTGTTTCTCCAGGCGAATTGACTGGTTGGTTAGGGAGTTGAGGTGTTGACACACTCACGTTTTTGTCAAATGTTATAGCCCTTAGTGGGTCATACTATATGGGGTACAAACAAATAGGGTTAGGTACTTGTACCCCAACTCAATCAATGCAATTCATTCCGCTGTTCTCAGTTACTAAGATGGTATCAGCAGTAGGTTCGTTGTTCCTAGGCCTTAGTCACCTCCGTTCCTAGTCCTATGCCGTCCCTAGCCAGCGCCCTCGCCCACGACCTAGCTACCGCCCTAGACACAACGCCCTAGCCAGCGCTCTAGCTCTACCCCCCCCCCCCCCCCCCCCTCCCCAGCAGGCCCGCCAGCGCCTTAGCCAACTGGCTCGCTAGCGCCTTAGCCAGCAGGCCCGCCAGCGCGCACGCCAGCGCGCACGCCAGCGCGCACGCCAGCGCGCCACGCCAGCGCGCCACGCCAGCGCGCCACGCCAGCGCGCACGCCAGCGCGCCACGCCAGCGCGCACGCCAGCGTGCACGCCAGCGCGCCAAGCCAGCGCACCGCCAGCGCTGCGTTGACGCCCCGCCCGTCCGCCAGCGCGCCGCGTCGCCGCGCCGCCCGCCAGCCAGCGCGCCGCGTCGCCCGCCGGCCAGCGCGCCGCGCCACCCACCGGCCAGCGCGCCGTGCTGCCCCCTGTGCGCCTCTTACACTGCCTCCTCGCCTGCGCGCCTGCCCACGTGCCACTGACTGTCTCACCCTCCTGCGGCTGGTAGCCGCGCTCTTCGTTTTTTTTTTTTTTTTTTTTTTTTTTTTTTTTTTTTTTTTTTTTTTTTTTTTTTTTTTTTTTTTTTTTTTCGCCCCTTATGGCGACCACTCGAGTACTTCGATTTGACCCTGAGGGGAGACCGATTGATTTTAGTACGTGGCTTACGCAGGCGCAGCGCCACCTTAAGAGCCAGCGGCAGGATGGCGTGCACCTGTTCGCACACGCATCCGGTACTCAGACCGCCCCTCCTCAGCCTAGGCCGCTGCCCACCACCCCGTCGCCTACTCCTGAGCAGGAGGCCGAGTACCAGCGCCAGTTTCTTGCTCGCAACGTGTGGGAGTCACTTGACGCCGCTGCCTGCCTCGCCCTGACCGACCTTCTCCCACCGACCGAGGCAGATCTGTATAAGGCTATTGTTGCTCGCTACTCCACTCCCTCCTCTGCCTCACTCAGTCGCCTCCTCGTCCCCTTTATCTACCCTGACCTCGCCTCCTTTGAGACTGTCTCTGACCTCACTGCCCACCTGCGCTCCCTTGACACTCGCTTTCGTGCTGCTTGCACCGAGGAGCAGCTTGCCCTTGCCCCGCCCCCTATGTGGCTCACCATTCACTGGCTAGTCACTCGCCTCCCTGACCGCCTAGCCACAGCCCGCGACGCGCTTCTTCTGAAGCATCCCACTGAGCTTACCATCGATCTTCTTGAGACCGCTCTCTCGAAGATCGAGAGTAACCTCCTCGCAGTTGCCTCTGCCTCCTCAGCACCTCCTCCTCGTCTTTTTGAGGGGTGTGCGGTACCACAGCTTCCCACCTTCACTGCCTCCCTTGCCATCCCCGCGTCTTCTGCCTCTGAGGAGACGGCGGCTGTTTCTGTCTCTGGCGGACAGAAACGTGGCAAGGCTAGCAAGAAGGGAGGGAAGGGCGGGGGTACTGGGGGTGGTGTGGGTAGTGGTGGCGGCGGTTGGGGCGGGTGGTGGTGGGAGTGGTAGTGGGGGTGGCTCGGGCCCTGACGGTCCTCCTCTCGACGGTGGAGTTATCACTGGTGGTGGGGGGTTCCAGCAGCAGCAGCAGCCGACTTCTCAGCAGCTGCCACAGCTTGGACAGCAGCAGCAGCAGGGACCGCAGCAGCAGCGACAGGGCCAGCAGCAGCGCCCACCGCAGCAGCAGCCTCAGCAGTGGGGGCCTCCGCAGCAGTGGGGCCCTCAGCAGCAGTGGGGGTTTGTGGGTCCCCCGAGCACTGGGCGCAGTGCCCCCCCCTCCAGTCGGGGACCTCGCTCGGCCGGCCGCGACGTTGGTCCCTGTGAGTACTGGATCCTTACGGGTCCTCGACGGGACTCGTACTGTGGCCGCCCCGACCACTCTGCTGCACGCTGCTTCAGTCGTCTCGACGACCTCTACCGTTTGCACCACGGCCCCTCTGCTCCCCCGCCGCCACGCTGGGGGACGCTTCTTGCTCGTGGCATTGCTGTTTTTGATATGACTATGGATGATGCTAGTTCTTATACCATGTATGCTGATGTTGACTATAGTGCTCCTGGATCTGTGTACTTGCCTGTTGCTAGAGTAGGTGCCAGTGTAGGATCTTGTTTAGCTACTAGTACAGGTACTCCCTCGGCGGACGCGTCTCTCTCCTTCACACTGGACTCAGGAGCGTCGCACTGCTTCTTCCGCGACTGCACGACTCTCTCTCCGCTACCGGCACCTGTCCCTGTAGCACTGGCCGATCCCTCCTCGGGACCGGTCATTGCGACTCACGCCACTACACTCCCGTGCCCAGCTGCTCCTTCTGGTTCCCTGACCGG